ACTAAACAGTGAAAAGGGACCATCTGTAATACTGCAAACATTACTTTCCCCTCCTGATCTGTTGTTCTTCCATTACTGCACTTGTGGCTAGCACTCTGTGTTCATGGCTAAGCTCATGTCCCAGCATTAATTATACACATTTCTGTCAAGTACAAAAAGGAATTAGGAAACACTAGAAACAAATTTTACCAGGAAACAATCCACAGACCTGGGCACACCTCTGAGACACAGATAAATAAAGGCAGTATTGAATTAGAAATAGTTTCTTTTATCCAGCTGAGTGTCTAAAATTGCATGAACGTTTTTTAAATTATTTCTTTGCATCTCTAATACAGTCTGTAATAGCTCTAAAGTCTACAGTCATATTAGGATATATACTTAAATACAGATAAAAAACAAACTACAGCTTGAAAGAAACTATCACCTGAAGAAATGGGAAAAAATACATCAACTTATAACACTAAATAATGCAGTAACTCTTCCAAATAGAACAGCTCCCTGTTACAGTTGAAAACACCAAGGTTTAGATCATCCATGGGACCAAAATATCTTTAATAACCTGGACTTGACTGCCCTTGCAATCACTATCACAATTAAAACCTGCTTTAGCAGTTAGATAATCAGAGCTAAAGGCTCAATCCTACACAGCTCAAACTTCAATCCCATTAAAAAGACACTTCCATTTGGAGCAGGCGTACAGCTGCTCATGTTCACAGGCAAGGGAAAGTTAGGGACAGGAAAGCAGAGAGACAGCACAGATACCAGATGCACAGGATGGGAACAACCTGCTGGTGTGGCATTTTAAGGCATAAAATCACAAGAAGAGGACTATATTGCAGATCTAGCCACAGAACAGTTTTTTAAAATAATTCTTAACAAAACTATTAGATCCAAAGGAAATTATTCCTTCCCTTTCAGACCCCACAAAAAACCAGCCTATTACTTATTTGTATTTAGCAGTCAAGGGAAGAATTTGGCAGTCACTCTTTGTCAGCTCAGAGGAGGAATTCTGACCCCAAAATGACAATTAGCTGAACTGGAATAGTAGTTCACCCATGAAAGTGATTCACACCTTTATTCTACTTTGGCACCAAGTTTATTACAACTGAATTTACTATGAGATTCAAGCTAATTAATGTCAGTATTTCTTGAACAGAATTTCAAAATTATTAAAACTTAAATGAAGAAAGCAGGGTCCCATTTATGGCAGAGTGGACAGAGACCAAGTTCACATCACAGGTCTGAAGAGTGTACCTCTGGCACATTTCACACCAGACTGATTCTGTTCTGCTTTAAGGAAAAACCCTAAAAATTGCCTTGAAATTATACCACAACTTATGCCAAAGAATCCAAAGTGGTTCACTAGGGAATGCACAGGAGCATTTTACATCAACTATCATTAAATTGAGGATAGTTCTGTGCAGCTCAACCCTTCCATCTGATAGCCTGCGGTGCAGCCCATGGTGAAGCAGGATGTCCTACAGCCCATGGAGGTTAAAGCAGTATCTCAAATCCCTGCATTTGGAAGCAGAAAACACCCTAAATAAACTCAAACAAGTAAACACTAACATAATATCTCAAGAGGATAATCTTTAGCTTCTACCTTATTTCACCAGAGAAGAAACTCTGCATTACTGAAACCCTGACAGTACAACAGACCAAAAAGAAAAGTTTTACTTTAGTCACCTATGGTGTCAAAACTCAGCTCCAGAACTCTCTACATTCCTCAAGAATGCTTAAGTACTCAAAGAAAATTGCATTAGATGAACCTTGTTGTTGCAGAGAATTGTAAAGATCCACACACTTCTTCATAAACATACAAAAAGCTGTCCCTGGTATTTTAATGACGCTGCTTGCTGCACAGCTGCCAAGTGTCTGCATGTTGTGCTGAGAATCAGCACAGTTATCACTAAACACACTCAGCCACCCGCTCATGCTGCCAGGAAACTGCTGCCAATGGCAGGCAGCTGGATGGGAGAGATTCCTCAGCAGGCACCCACAACCCCCTCTGCCCCAACACAGCATCTCTGTTCTCTTCTTGAAATCACTGCTGATCCACATTCCTAAAATTACCTTTGCCTTATAAGTAACACTCCATAATATAAGCAGCTGAGTCTGCTGCTCCTCAAGGTTAGCCATTTAATGGCATTTTCAGTTTCAGACGAGAGGTCAATTCACAATTTGTTTGGATGGTCCATCTACTATATAACACAGAGTTAGTCAGAAAGCTCTTTCCCATTCCTTTGGGCTATAGCTTCTGACTAAGAGATAGAGATTATACCATGAAATTACAGATTTTTTTTTTTTTAATAAAAATCTAGACCAGTCAAAGAAGAGAGTGGAATTAATTTTGATAGCACTGATACAGGAGCTAGCACTCCCATAACTTCTGCAAAAGCAAGGCTTATTTCTTCTGGCAGGTATATTTGGAAAGTTGAGCCCCATTAATACCCCAGCAGTTTCTTCAAGAAACCAAGATTGTCTAGTGCCTAGTTGGGTTTTCTTAAAAAGAAAATCATTAAGACAAATAAGCTTCATTTGAATGACACTTGTGGATTCCTCTTTTCTTCTAAAAGAAGCTATCAGATAAATTAAAAAAAAAAGAAATCAGGGCATTCGGTGTCAACAAAATGCCAGCTAATGACATCTAGAAGCATTTTCTCATTCTCTGCTAATGTTTCTAACAACAAAGTATCTGGACTACAAACAAGTTATGATTTTAATTTGCTTTTATATTTTTTTTTTACATGCTAAGTAATTAGCACACTCAGTGCTTTTATACCTTTGAAAATAAAGTGTCTACTCAGTGCCAGATCTAGGCACTTGCCTTGGACACACAAGGCCACAATATATTTAAAAATATGATTACATCTTGCACACAGAACTGTTAAATTGTGGCAAATCAAACATATTTGACAACTTTGGCCAGGTCAGATATCATCTCCTGAGTGACTACCTGGCTCAGATAACATTCTTACCAGGGTAACTGTTAAGTTTCTCAGAAAAAAGTTTATCAAAATGATTAAAACTGAAAAGTGTATCAGCTACATTTAAAAAAACCTTCCAATTCAGACCCAACAGTATCAATCTCAGCACCACACACACAGACTCTGTGTAAGAGAAGACGCAGGTTTCTGAAGAACTTCCAGGAATGAATCCTGGTTTAAGCCACTTCCTGGGAGCAAAACCAAATTTCTGCTCATTAAACTGTACTACTACATTAACAAAAATTGCATGTCTGAATCCAGCTGTTTCTTGTTGCTCCACCAATCCACAAACTTCTACTTAATGCTTCTACCAAAAACACCATTTTGAGCTGACCTTTTTGTAAATTAAAAATCTTACTCTCTTTCTGCCCCCACCTCTTTTTCTTCTTTTTTAATGGCGAATGCCTCAGGGCCTCCAAATGCAGGTTGCTGACTTCAGGAAGACTGCCCACAAAGCACTGAGGATTCTGTACTAGAAACAGTGCTACACTTCTTTGTTTCTGTTCTCCTCTTCAAGGGTACTCCCTTCTCAATAAATCATGAGTTCCACAAGCAAAGCAGTACCTCCAGCCACGCACACAACTCAGTGTCTCTCATCAGCAAATGAACAGGAAGGGATTAGACTCATAAAAAAATATTGTCATTTAAAACATGTCATAAATGGCTCAACTCAACTGCAAAATGATAACTTAATGTGAGTAAAATCAGCTGCTGCTCTTTATGTTCTTGCTGCAAAGTTCATGCTTCCACATCCCATTTGGCTTTAGTGAATGATCAAGAATAAAAAAGAATAAAAACAAAAACTAAAAAAAACCTAATGAAACAGATTTCAGTGGTTCAGTAAGTAGTAACTCCCAAAACAATACTCTTAAATAGCCTCTTGTCTTAAAAACACATTGTAAAAAATACACTTGGCTTATCTGAAAAAACAAATTACACAGCTTCCTAATAAAAACTAATTACAGGTAATTTAAACATTTTGGTAAATGGACACTAGGAGTAACAGAATTCAAAATTCTTTTCTAAGGACAGAGGACCAAAGGAACACGTTAAAAAAAAAACTGGTTTATCTGTGAATTATTTTGAACTACATTCAATTCAACATACTACAAAAGAACTGGAAAAACAGCTTTATTGATGTCTCCAGCCATTACATATTTTGTTAAAAGCGATGTAATTTAATTTAATTTAATCCATTCCAATTGCCCAGAGCATTCACTAGTTTCTTCAGTTCTTTCAAAAACTTTGTTTCAGTTCTCCAAGTCTCACATGCTCCAGGTGCCCTATAATCTCTAGGGTCTCAGAGTGAAGTGTTTTCCTTGTGGGCAGGACTGGTTACTGAAGCAGACAGTAGAAGCTGGAGAAGTTTGTCATGATGAGAGATTTTCAGTGCATCAGATGTCTGATACGCAGCTGTGAGTTTCCTCAAAGAGTGGATGTTTCAGAATTGCCCTTTACCAAGCAAATGCCACAAAAGCACAAATCAGCTGGTTGATGCAGGATGATGTGAACAAGTTCTGCCCGTAATCACTTAACAGGAAAAGGGATCAGGAAATAACATTATTTTTCAAATCAAAGAACAGTCAGCTATACTCAAGAGATGCCCAAGAGGAAATAGCAACACAGAAGAGCAAGTAGCAAGCAAGTAGTGTCTCCTGTTTATCTCAAACCAGAATGAAAAATAAAAAAAATAGCTTTTATTTGCATCAGAGGATAGAAACATGTACTGACAGTCTGTTGATTGTTTTTAAGATTAGGAAAGAAACTGTACGCTTGCCAAAGTTTGCTTACCCACGCACCTCAGAGAAGTAAAAGCACAGAACAATATCATTAACATATTTTTCAAGTTTCTGGAGTGCATTTTTGCATGAAACTTATCATTTTCACAAGTAACTTCAAACAAAGAGTACATTATCAAGACACAATACAATAATTTATCAATGAAAGTATCCACCATCACACATGGTCTGTATCTAACCAACAAAGGTCTCTACAGAGACCAAGCACGCTTACCTCAGTGTTTGGCTGTAGTGCCTGTGCATCCTGGGCTGCAGATGGTACTATGGTACTTGCCCACGTAATGTTGGCACTAGCAGATGATAAGGAGCTGAGGGCACCATTTTTCAGTTCCTCTGTGGAGTGTGACTTGGGCCCAGGCCACCCCAGGATACCATCTGAAGCAGAAAATAGGTATCAGCTTACGAGAGAAAGATTACAGATTTCCTCCATTCACCTCACCATTCTACTGATCTAAATGAACTTTATCTCTTCTCTGCTTCCATGTACAGCTTTACTTCAGTAAAAAAATGATCTTGTACTTTCTGAACTAGCTTATGCATTATCTCAAATGATATCCCTGCCTTTGGAAGCAAGAAACACCCTAAATAACCAAAGTAAGCATCTTATAGGCAAGCTTTTTTATGATTTTTTTAAGTCAATGAATGTTAGCACTACCACCAGACTGTATAATTCTATCTGGCATACCTTGGAAATTAAGCAAGAATTCTCTACCCACTATTTTCATAGCTATGAAGTCATTCAAGTAAACCCTCCATTTCTTCTGCCTGAAATCAAAGTTTTAAGCCTAGCAGCTGTATTTTATTTCTGTCTGTACTACTAAAAGTTTTTTCTAAAATGCTTTACTGGTACCAAGATCACAGTTTAAAAGAGGTCTCATTAGAAAGATACACATTAAATATGAATCAAACGAAACTTGGCATCAGAACAACCCTTATTTCTGGGGGCACTTGATTTCCTGGATGGTTCTGTATTTAAGGATGCCATGACAGAAAGTACAATCAGCTAAGGCAAGTGCACAGTTGTTCGGCCCTAAGTGCTCTAAAACATAGTCTCAACAGACAAATTACTAGCCCTCAGCACAGGACTTAAAATTTCAGCTATTAATTGCACACTGCTCTAAAACACAGAGATATGGGTAAGAAAATCACAGCTCTTCACTCATTACCATAATTTATATATGAATATACAATTAGTGCCACAGGGAGGATTTCTTCTCACCACTGACAAATTTTTAAGACGATGCAGAGCAACACAAAGTACATTAAAGAATGTGCACTTTCTCCTCTCCATATCACCAGGGTTACCAGAGACTGCCTCCTAAGTGAAGTAAATGGTTGGATCTGGAGAGGCTATGCTACATAGCGTCACAGTAGCACTTCCATTACTAAAAAATGGGCCACAAATCCCAAAGCTGACTGAACTCTTACCAAATGCTAGAGACAAAACAGTTACGGAACATTCCTCTCATCTAAAATGGCACTAAGTTATGAAGACACGGCAGGAGTTCAGATCTACTTTGCTTAGGATGCTTTTGTGGCGCCACCTTTTGCTGAAGAAATCATGAGGAAAACATTAGCAAGTAGTTTTAAAAAAATTATCTTCAAAGATCTGAGTAACCAACAGGGGAAAAATCCAGCTTTTTTTTCTTTTTTAAAATGTGTATTTCATACAATTACACAAAATTCATCTTGCCAAAGGAAGAACATTTCTGTGGCTCTGCTGTCAAATTATTTCTCACTCTTCATTATTTTGCAATAACAGATCTCGATCTAGTTTTCTGTTTCTCTCTGTCAAAGAAGCTGAATAATGGATTACTGTTGCTATTTTCCTATTACAGAGACACTAAAAAAAAAATTGAACTGACTTCTCTTTATGCCAATCTTTAAAAATATGTCATCCCATAATTTCCTTGAGCTATCCATTTTCTCTCTGCACAAACAATCTACTTGGCCATCACTGTAAACAGTTATTTTTGATTTTTTTAAAATCTAGTTTATGTAAATAACCACAATAAAAAGCTCCCACATGAAGAAGTACCTCACTTCAGGGGAAATTTTAAAGTGTGAACATTTACTTCATCATCACAAACATGTTTTTAAAAGCACTATACTGCTTTTCTTCTTCAGTGAAAACACACTGTAAAAAGGTCTTTGTATTTCTCTGAACATTTTAGAGTCTCCAAGAGAAATAGAAACTGTTAGATCTAGGCAAGCATGTTTTCTCTCCTGTATCAAGGGCAATGCTACCCTCACAAAACAACAAATCTTGTCAGCCTAATCAAATTTTAAACAGATCTTAAAAATACATTATGACCAAGCCAACACCAACAGGATGCCAAGAGTTACAGTCCAAATTATATTAAAGCACATTCATTTCCTCAACACTTTGCATATAAGAAAAATTGTTTCGTTAAACTGTGCATCTGGAATTTGAGTACTTTGCCAAAGAGAAATATGCAGGAAAAGATCACACATCACAGAAATCTAAACAAATAAACAGTATCTCTCTGAACAAATTGAAAAAAATCCCCACCTAGTTTCAAAGTGCCATCAGGGAACCTGTGATGATCTTTAATCTACAAATCTTACTCTGAGATGTCAGCATTCCCATATTATCCCCAGGAACTTGCCATATATCTAATACAGCAGCTCACATTTCAGGCAGAAGTAATCTCTGATAAGAGAACTTATCAGAAATTATCTTAAAATCAACTCAGACTAGAATACAATCTCTATGAAGAAAGTGAAAGGCCACAACAATATGGCTCCTACTTTACTCATATTATGAGTTTTCCAAAACTTTTCAGGACAGTTTTTCAGGGGTTTCTTCAGTTTTTCAGTACACCCAAAATGTTCTCATCTGCACTAGGACAAATTACTCTTATCACAAAATAGTACAGGTATAGCTGTTGCCTATGCCATATCTAATCCAGTTGTTTTACTGGAATTTACTCTCCACAGACTGAGCTGCCATCAGTAAATCATCTGATCCACTCTATTAGAGTTGCCATCTTTGCCCTTTATGGGACTCAAAAATTTCTATCACTAGTTCAATCCGTGTTCTTATAAAGACTTTAAAAATATATGTATGAAAATTAAGCATAATATGAGAAAGTTTATCTTCTGAGTTGGATAAGAATAAGAAAAAACTGCTGACATTGGTTTGGGACAGAAAGGTAAATTCTAATCTATTTTAATACATTTCAGAGCTCTAAAGGAATTCTCCAGAAAGGCAGTCACAAATTATATAGAAGTATTGACAACTACATAACTACTTTACTACTTGCTACATAACTACTTTACTACTTGCTTTAAGACTATGCAAAGCACTACACTAATTAAAACAGAACATCTGTTTCTGTAGTAAACGATGCAAAAATTAGAAAGGACGTACCAAATACACAACTAGTAAAATCAGCTGGATCTCTTCTACCTACATGGTGCTGGTTCTGTAGTTCCAGGAGTGAAAACGCAAGTCTGATTCCTCTGAAAGTTCAGAGCATATGTACATACAAAACAAGAGTTCTTATAGAACATACCCAAAAATTAGCTTCCTTCCCACTTCCCCTCAACAGCAGCTTCCCCTGTGATGAACGCGCAGCAGACAAGTGCAGCAAGGCACATGAGAACACTTGTACCCAAGCAAAGCACAGCATCCAGACACAACCATTTATCCTTTCCCTATAGCAGTGCTGCAGTTCACAAACATCTGTTTCAGAGGGCACACTAGGTTGTATCACACAAATGCCCTCAGGAGAAACATCATTCCCTTCTACAGGTGCACACTGCCGGAGTGGGGGGAGTTCTCTCTGAACAGAAGGTTTACTGGAGATTTTTCAGTTAAGCAATGTTGATAATTTTCTTTTGTTGGTTTCTGTTTTCTGGCTACCTGATGTACCTTCAAACTCACTTTTGCACGATAAATGATGCATGAAATATGCTTAACACCTATCTCAATTCTATAACAAAAATCTCTCTAATTTTACGTCTTCTGATCTTGACTGGGAGACTACAAAAAACACCCTACATTTTTTCCCTGGCACAATTGTAAACATCTATTTAAAACACTTTCATGACGTATTTTAAATATGTCATGAGTAAATATACTCTAGCAAATATCCCTTAACAGTGCAGTGGTAGGACTTGAGAAGAAACCAATATTAGACCTGGATTCCTTCCCCTGCCAGGGATGGATGCAACAGCTTGGTCTGTCTGCTGAATTCCTACAGCACACTGAACCACCAACAGCAAATGGCAGCTGCATCTCTGCTTTTCACATGAGATTGTATTGGCTAATGTTGTGTGGGGACCAGAAAATAATGTTATTTTCCAATGAAAGAAGAACATGTAAAGAATAATGCATTAGCCTTTAGACAGAACAGGAAATTGTTCTGGTTATTCTTGACAGAAGCAAGGCTGGGGAGGGTGCAATTAATGGGAGAACTGACTGACCAAGCCAACTTCAGTAAAGTACACCAGTAACAAAGAATTTGTACTCCTGTTTTCTTTCCTCACTCTTCCCTTTCCACATGCATTTAAGCACAAAAAAGGACTTACTTGTCTCCTCATTTTTCTCTCTTGTCATCAGCTGCAAGAGAATTTCTAGTGGTCATTTGTCAACAAATTGAAAGCACCTAGTTTTTGTCCTTCCTATCCATTTATTTTCTCCAAAAAGGAGGCAATAGAGAATAAAAAGCTCAAGTATATCCGGCCCCCAACTCCAGAACCATCTCTGATCCATTTGTTTCCATGGGACCCAAAATCAGCAGCGTTTGCACATTAAAGTGAACTGCAGAAAATCCACAGTAAGGATGAGTTTGGTTTTTGTTTTTAAAAAAGTCTAAAGAAAAATGAAACATTCTACAGTTTGGAAAAGCAGGCAAGGAAGAGACAGAAAAATATAGGAGCAAATTCCTGTTGGGAAGATGCTTTATTCAGTAAATGAATGGCCAAAGTGAAATGCAGATTAAAAAAATGGATTGATCTGTGCAAGCTGCTACTACAGGAGAAGACTGTGTCTGCCAAAACACCAGAATAAAAAAAAAAAAACCAAAAAACAGATCTAAAACACAACATACGCTGGTAGAGCTACATCAGAACAAACATTCACGTTTGCTCTGTTCACAGTCTGGGAGAGAAGAATGTTAACAATTGCAGTCAACAGGCTCTGGAGATACTCTTCTGCCAACTGCTGTATACAGAGCAGGAAAAAAATAGCACTAGAACTTCTAAAGTTAAAAATGAAGACAAAAGTTTCTTCTCCACATTTTTATTTTTAAAGGTACCCTCTCTTTGTCTGCATGCCAAATAAACTCAAGGCTGTCAGAAGGTACTTTTGATGTACCTAAGTGGTGACATTCCCAGCCAAAAAGGAAGACCTTGACATTTTCCACGTTCCTACCAAAAAAATGTAATTCCCAAACACAAAGAAGCTGGTAAAGGTGCAATCTCTTATCCTCAACTCACACTATATGTAACCAACACTTTCAGCTAATAATACCCTCTTCTGGCATATTTTTCAATGAAAGAAAAAAAATTACAAACATTTAGCCAGTGATCAATGCAAATATCTTTAATAATGACAGCTAGAAATTATTTTAACATTAATTTTACTTAAAAGTAGAAACACGGACAGGATTTTGCTTCACTGACTGTTCTTGTTGATTTACTTCCAAAACAGACAATCACAAAAACCCTTCCATAAAGCTTCAGAGTAGAAATAAAAAAAAAATCATTGACTAGTCTTCAAGACAAGATTGAAGACTTCAGTTTAATCTTCATGTCTGCTTGTAGGCTTGAGGTCTAAGACTGACAATTCGTGAGAAACATGAAATGGAAAAATCATGTCATCCTTAAACTATTCCATTAGAAAGGATGCCATAAAAATATTTTAAGTCATGACCTACATAATTGTAGATTCTGGACAAAATTCCACTAAAGTGAATGCTGATTTCTTTCTACTCTAATTACTGGAAAACAAAGCAACAAAAATATTTACATCAAAAGAAAGAAGACACTTTTTTTCCTTGTCTAAAACAATAAATGTCAGTGTCTGTTTAAAATAGGGACTATTTTATTATAATCTTCATGAGAGCATTCCATAAGTACTAGGTCAGAAACTCTCAGCCACTTTTAAGTCTTTGCTTTAGAGGCAGTAAGACTGCAAGGCCTCCAGCGAAGTCAGTAAAACTTGCACAATTGGGTATAAAGACCCCAAGGACACAAGGAAAGGTACAGATTAAGTAGATAGATGTCTACTTTTAAGGCAGTTCTCTCTCTTTATGGCATAATAGTGAAAGCTTTGGATGCTGAAGGAAAGAAACTCAGGGGTAGTGGGTTCAAGTTAGCCCAGCTAAGCAGTTGAGTATTTCTCACACTCCACACAGGGAAGACTGTTGCCTGCCTGGACTTGACTGCTTTCATGAACTGTAGGCTAGAAGCAAGAAAATAAATTATCGAATTCCTATCTTGTCTCTATCTGTGCATTCTGCCCCACAATGCCCACTAGCATCTTTACACCACACAGCACGTAATGAGCCAGCACTGGGGTGGAAACATTCAGCAATAAATTGCACAGGACCATGACATCTCACAAGCAAGATGTTTGAGAATTCCTACCACAGGAGCACGTGGTTTTTTAAACTGAAAAAGTCATTTTCACCTGACAGTGACAGAAAAGGTCATCTTCTGTTGTACTTGCTGGGTATAAAATTAAAATAATTCACCTGGAGGACACAATCAAAATGAACTAGATCATCTCTCAGAATTAGTTTGCTAGGGGATTACTTAAAGGCTTTATTCTGAATAGGTATGAGCTTATACAGCTTTGATGACTCTGAAAGTCTACCAACTCAGCACAAACATTAAGTCTATCAAAGTACGCCTGGAAAAGATTAAGTGTGTAGGAAAATCAGTAATCAAGACTTGTAGGCCAGGTTCTTTCAGGCAACTGTGTTGCATAATAAGGCCTAGGGAGAAAAAAATCATTTCAGTCAGAGAGAAGAGACTAAATATTTCAGCAGCTTTTAGTTCCCTTCTTAGTGTGTTGTTTTTTTTTTTTTAACTTCCATACCAAAGAATAAGCCCACACACACTCTGAAGAATTAACTGCTTGCATTCAAGCTCTCAGTTACACCAAAGATGCTGGTGTGAACCAGTGCTACAGAATTTTGATTCCTGATAGATTCTTGTGCAAGTTTACAGTCTTAGGAAGAACAAATAAAAACACTTATTAGATTTTACAATTCAGTATTTCATAGACATGACTTTCCTTTTTTTAAAAAAAAAATATTCCCCTTAAGCAATTACTATTGCTTTGCTTGCTTTTCTCTCTTCCTGTCCATAGATCCTCAAAAACCATTATCAAGTCAAAACAAAGAGTGATTTAACAGAAGATTATGTGGACACAGAGTCAAGGACACCTGCATCTCAAGTCATCTATCTCTTGACAGTTCACTTAAATCACATCAAGATGAAAAACAACCTTCAGAGACCTTGAAACTAGAAAGCAACTTTTCTTCAAAGGTTGCTTTTCATCTCTGTTTCAAACCATTCTTTTCTGAAATAAAGTTATATCAAATATTTTAATTCAATACACTTTAGCATTACTACTTAGCTAAGTACAAAGGAGGTTTGCATTTTCCACAACAAAATGGCAATTTTTTAAAAATCATGTTCCTTTATGAAATTGATCAGCATCTGGATATGGGAAAGTCAGCACGTACCATAGGACAGGTGTCAAAAGGTTTTAATTTTTTTTTTTTCCAAGAACTGTTTTGTATCATTTTCCTGCTTCCCAACTAACCCTTTCACATTTCTATTCTCCTCACAATGGGAATGCTTCAGAGGCTGTCCCACCATCTCAGCAGCCTTGAGGGCATGTCCTGCCCTGTAGTGAACCTACTCCAAGTGAGGGCAGGTTGAGGGGGATTGTTTCGGAAGCACCCGAAGAAAACACAAAAAGCCACCCTGTATCCAGAGCTCTGCTGCTGCTGCTTCTCTTACATCAACACTTGTTCTTGTTCTCAAAACTTGGCAGTGCAGTTTACGGATGGGAAAATGCTAACCACCCTCCCAGAAAGCTCAAGGTCCAACTTCCAATATTATGGACAGATCCAGAAATGGGTGAATTGGAAAAACTGACATAAATGGGGACTGAGAGGCTCATGCCTGCAGAGCTCACTGTAGTATCCTATTGACATTTTAGGCTCATAAAACTTGCCACTTTTTTTTTTTAAAGTATGGAGAACTCTTTCCAGACTCAAAGGAAAACACAGACCAAAATAAATCCACCTCAACAGCATCCTTCCATGCAGAGAACTAGAAATATTATTTTCACTGTAGCACTGCATAGCATTATTTTTATCAAACAAATCTGTATTGAGATTGAAATCTATGAAAAAATTTTTAAAAAAATAGAGAGGGAGCAAATCAAAACAACCAAGCTGGTTCCACACTGCCATTAACAATATAGGTTTATGTATACCTCTTCCCCATGCCCCATTTTTTTTGTGTAGTTGTCTTCAGGACCAATTTCTCTGAGAAAACTCAGGATCACCTCTTTTTCTTCTCTCTTCTGACTGCAATACATTTTGCATCTTTTTTTTTTTAGGCAAACAATTACAGTGCTTGAGGCTGCAGAAGCTCACAGCAGCTCATTCCAACTTGCCTCTCTGAGAATGGTTAATTTTGCCTGCTTCATATCTTAGTTAAACACCCCAAGGCACATGAAACAATACCCAAGGGAGCTTGTGCTCACCTGATGACAGCGTCCTGTTATGCTGTTGGCCCACTTGATGCATGCTTTGCTGCAGTAGACTCAGGCATTCTCCAAGGCAGCTCAGGGTGGCAGCAGAGGTAGCTTTTAAAAGTAGCAAGTCCTGATCCAAGGCAGTAAGAGGTCCAGAATTTGGGAGAGATTCAATGGCTTGTACAAGATTCTTCTGTTGTCCTTCAGCTTGGCTCATGATCTGTAAAGGTCCAAAAACATCTGCTGTCATAGGAAATATCACTATGTAGCTGTTAAATTCTTATGGATTGAAATAGTGACTAAATGTGAAGAACTACCACAAATGGATGTTAATGTTCTGATCCAAACATACCATATACTCACCTACAAAAACGAAGGGCTTGAGACTACCAAAGGCCTGTAAAAATGTCAAGACTATGTTAGAGAAAATAGTCTCTTAAAATAGTAGGTTCACAGTAGGTTTAATAGTGACTCATACTTTCTGAAAGTCTTTGTAAGGAAAAGTATGAAAATTCTACTTCCTTCTCCATTATTAATCTAGGCTTAGATTTTCTTGCCTTTGTATGTGATCTGAGACGCCCAAGGAAGTTACACTGTCCCTCCTCCCTTCCTACATAAAGTATCTCATCACAGTTTAAGAACAGGCATTACCCATTTCTTAAACTAAGGACCTATTTTTAGAAAATGCAGTAATTTTTAAGTTTACAGACATTAGCATAGGAAGCAACTTAGAGTACTTATTTCATATCCAATATGAATACAAGCTGTCAGGAAGAAAGTTAACCTCTTTCTAGGTTTGGACCATCTAGATGATGAAAGGGTTGCTTGTATAGCAGGTAAAAACAGTATTTGAGTAGGCTGCTCTTTAAGCAAATTGGCAAGCTTTCAAAATCCTAAAGCCAAAAGAAAAAGAGTATGTTCAAAACTTCTCTCTCCATTTTTGCAGTCTGTAGGAAATCATATATGCATATGACAAGCCTCTTTCACTTACCTTGCAAAAAACTTGCTGCAAAAACTTACAGGACTACACTTGAGATACCCAAAGTTTTCAGAAAAATATATCTGAAGATGTCATAATAAACAAAGATTCAAGCTCCATTTGTCCACACTACTGTACTGTAAAAATGTATTATAAACTTCATTATTTTTTATTATCATTATTATATTTTCAATATTGTGTATTTCCTGCAGCCTACATTACTGTAAATTGACTGATTAAAAAATGTATGCTGAGTGCACTAAAAAGCTAGAAAGGAAACTGAACTCAGAGATGAAATAACCACTCTTGCAAAAAAAGACTAGAATTACACAAGACGATGATGTTGCAGTTCATAAATTTAGCCAAATGCCTTGCTGAAGGTTAACATGACATTTTAATAATCAACATTTAAAACAGAGGCCAAAACTTCAGTAAAAGCCACAGACAATTTTACTTCCCTTTGGCAGAAAACAAGACCTGTCAGAAGGTGACACAGACCTCTCCAATATGCAGCTTTAGGGAACCACAGAATCAATCCCAGGCAATGCAAGTATTCCTCTTCCATGGAAAGAGCACAAGGAGGCAAACAGAAGGAACAGCCAGGAAAAAAAAGATGACCATCTCCCCGGAAGACTAAACAATATAATTGTATGGAAAACTGCTTCTCTCCTTCTCCCATCCTGCATAAGTGTGAAATTGAAAACCTGACTCTCTCATACTTCACAGTGACAAAAATGTTCTATTTTCATTTCCAAGTGACTAGTTTTCCTACTTTTTTTTTTTTTCGGGGGATGACGAACGGGTGGGACGAGAGCTTACAAATCCCAGACTTTCTTCCATAAAAAAATAAAACCAAAAGCAAAATTTTGAAAACTTCAAACATTTTAATTTTCCCCTCCCCCCTTAATGAAGGACTCTATTCTTTTGCAGATTAGACAGGAGCATAAGACAAACTGATCAGGGAGTTTAGAAAACATTTGGAAAATTAACTGAATGTTTGCAGCTATCACCCAGCCCAAAAGTTTACAAGCTTTGTCAGCTACATTCTTCCCAGATTAGGAGAAATTTCAATAAAATCAAAGATTGATTCTACCTTTATCCAAAACAAGGTGTTGGTCCATGTCTTACTGTTTTCTAGCTGACCTAAGACAGCTTTACAGCAGCCTTTTGATTCATCTTTCCCTTGCTACCTAGTTTCATGTTATAGTTGTGATACCAGCAGCTGCTCTACGGACCTGACACAGCAGAAGACATCTGGAACTGTAACTTCTGTGTGGGATTCAAAGTACTAGAACTTGCTAAACTTTTACTGCACAAACACTGATCATAACCACACAGTTTAAGGGGCTGAATGCCCAGAACAAAGATGAAGAACCTCCCATATTGTAAAGTGACAGATCAACTCAATGGCAGAATGCATAAGGAAATTACATATATTATTGAAATAACTGAACTTTGGTTTTATATGTTTGCCAATTTTTTTAAGACCTTGACAAAAGATTTCAGAAGAGCTGAAGTGTAGCTGTTCTACAGACAGTAAATCAAGGAGGAGCTGACACAAAAACACCAAACCATACAAGATGAAACTCATTAAACACATTAACCCTTAACAGGGCAGCCACTAAGTCATGCAGTTATAGCATCATTCTGTCTTACTGGTGGGTCTGGTTATTGCATTTTCCCAGGAGAGGAGAGGTAAAATGCTTGACTTACTAGTACTCTAAGCTTGTTTCAAATTCAGAATGAAAAGCTTTGACTTTGAGAAAGGGAAGTTTCTAACCTTCCTTTTACAAGGTGAAATAATTTGCCTAATTTTGAATTACTTCCCTCTTACATGGAGTTATTTGAGCACCTTACAATTCTCCATCCTTCCCATTTGCAAATACAGACAGTTCAAAGTAATAGTTCTCTACTTGTAACAACAACGAAGGGCATTTGCCTCTGTCTCCTCGCCAAATATTAACCTATTTCTCTTTCCACTCTTGTTTTGGATTTGATAACTCCTCTTCACCTATATATTCTTCTCACAGTATCACAAAACAACTGCACATTCTCAGAAAAGCACTGAAACGTCAAACATACAACTTTATGATAGATGTACACTAAAAGACCTGAAAGAACCACCAGGACTATATGTATTAAAAGGAACTACATGTGTGCAAATATCTAGCATTCTTAGGTCTTCATTTACTTAACTGCAAAATGTTCAGTAAGAGGAAACCTCATCCTAGGAAGACACCAGCTCAAATGCATAGTTTGCTTCTTTCTCCATCTTCTGCTTCAGGAGAACAAGCAGATGACAAGTGTTCCCAATTAACAGCTGCTCCTGAAGCATGAAGGCAATTCAGACCTTTTAGCCTGTCAGAAACTCTCAGGTATTGCCTTGTAGTGGATTGACTTTGGCTGGTTACCCAGTGCCCACAGATTCCCCTCCTTGGCTGAACAACCAAAGGTTTGGGGAGTCAAGATAAGGACAAGGAGGTCACCCAATTACTACCACAGGTAAAACAGATTGGACTCAGGGAAATCAGTGTAATTAGTACCTAGCAGATTAAGGCAACAAGAAAATAAAACCAAATCTTACTTTTCCTCCACCATCCCTTATTCCCAGGCTTAACTTCATTCCCAGTTTCACTACCTCCTTCTCCAGAGCAGCACAGGGGGACAGTTACAGGGAGTTACAGCCTGCTCACGACATATTGTCTCTGCCACTCCGTGCTCCTTGCTCTCTTCACCTCATCCAGCATGGCAAACAGTCCTGCATGAACTGCTCCAGCACAGGTCGTTCACAGGGTCACAAGTCCTGTCAGCAAATGTTTCAGCCCAAGCGTCCCCTGGGTCACAGCCTCTTTGAGGCATCCATCTGTTCTGGCGGGGTCCTACACAGGCTGCTGGTGGATCTCTGCTCACCAGGTATCTCAATATCATTTGAGATACTGCTTTAACCACCTCCATGGGCTGTAGGACATCCTGCTTCACCATGGGCTGCACCGCAGGCTCCAGGGAAATCCCTGCTCCAGTACCTGGAGCAACACCTTCCCCTCCTTTGTTACTGGCCTTGGTGTCTGTAGTTGCTTCTCTCACTCCTCTCTTCTCTGGCAGATTATCTCTTTGGGATAATCTGTTATCCCAAAGGCTCTACCACCATGGCCGAAGGGCTTGGCCAACTGCAGGTCCATCTTGGAGCCAGCTGGCCTTGGCTCTGTTAGACATGGAGACGCTTCTGGCAGCTTCTCACAGAAGCCATGTCTGTGGCCCTTCTCATGCCAAAGCCTTGCCATGCAAAGCCAACAAATTCTCCTGACTAATATTACACTCCAAGAAACCTGCCATCCAATGACCCTCTCACGAATGTCCAAACGCAACAGGAAACATCTGTGATGCTTTCCTCTCTAGGTCATGCCCTCCCTACCACTTGCTCCAAAACAGACAATCCACAGCTTTTGTTGCTGCCCGCTTCCTCCTCTTCAGGGCTGATCTTAACATCCTGTGTGATCGCTTTCCCAGCCACAGCAACTGCTACCTACCCCTCTACAGCTGGAACTGCACCTCCTGTTCTGAACACATAGCTCACCATAAGGCAAGAGACCAAACACTTACGTGATGAGCATCCAAACAAATGGTAAGTAGAAATTACTAATTCTCAGGGTTATTTCCACAGTATGTGGAAGACAAGCAGAAGAAGCCATGAGATACCCTAGGTTTGCAAAGAAATTTATTTCAGACATAATAAGATGAAAGAACATTCTTTCATGTGGTAAATAAGCTAAAATTAGTTATTAAATTAGGAAGTAAAAATTAAAAATTGAAGTGCTATTTTGCATGATAAAAGAAAAAATACAGGAATTCAACATTTTGTTAAAGTACTAGATGATACATTATTCTTTCCCACGCAGAGAAATCGTCTTTAAAAATCTGAATGCCATTTTTGATTTAAGGCTTCAATTTGTTTCTGAAACTACAAAGAGAAAGGGAGATATTCCAAATTATTAAGTATAATAATAATCTGTATTCAAGATTTTTCCTTCCGTCTGACAACAAAAATAAACAGAAACTTCAAACAAAGAAAACTGAATAACCACACCTAAATGTAAGAGCATATGATTGCTTTTGACATGATTTTATTGTAAATGCTTTTGCTATCCAGACTCCAAGATTACCAGGCATAAGTCTGTTTGTCTAGGACAGATGTGTATTATCAGACATCTTTCTTTCCAGAATTATTGATCCTACAGGATTTT